GGCCATGAACCGGCCATGGTCCAGTCATGACCCGGCCATGGACGGTCATGACCCGGCCATGGGCTGGCCATGGACCGGCTATTGACCGGCCATAGACCGGCCATGATCCAGCCATGACCCGGCCATGGACTGTCCATGAACCGGCCATGTTCCGGTCAAGACCCAGCCATGACTAGGCCATGAACCGTTTATGACCCGGCCTGACCGTCCCCAGTAATGTCACCCACTGCCAGATAAGTTCGATTCGAGAAGGGCATGTTGCGGCTGATTTGAGACCACCACTTAGAACGTCGTGTGCGCTAATGGTTGTACATCTGGTGCCATAGACAACTCACATAGACTAGACCTTTTGGACGTCCCGGGTACGCTATAGTATTGTCCCCGGGGGTACTCCCTGTACTACAGAAGATAATACAGTTTCGAGAAAAACGCGGTGAACTTGTACAAGCGCGATCCAGGATTCGAGTAGTCTAAACTGTGGATACGGTAGCTAGGGCGCAAGAGTTCAGATTTCCTAACAAATCTGACGAACGCCGTCACCTAGGTTGAACGCAAAGTACTCTCCATGGTCCCAAACAAAATACCTACATATCGTGCCTCGATTGTTGCTGACCCCCTCTCATAATATTATTACTCTCCTCTTCCCTAGACTACACTTCAAAGGCGAAGGAACTAAATCAGGCTTCGTAAAAATTACAACTGTAGCTGCAATGAAAATGTTGTAGACTTGGAATATGTGTTGACCACGTACCTTGCCAACGCTGACGACGTCTCGTCGGGGCCCTCAGACCCTTGTATCTGTACACTGCAACAGCGTGGACTCGACTTTCTTCCATCTATCAAGAGAAGACGCCGGACAGTAGGATGCGAGAAGCCACACCACACACCACCCATTACGATGTGCCGCAGCGCGCACCAACGGTACGCATACATACGCGGAGCGCGGCGGAAGAAATACCGGGCAGTTGGTACAGTGTATGACTGTGTCAGTGTATTTTACATCGTGTTTTTTTGAAACTGCCAACACCAAGATATACCGACGATCCGACGGCAGTACACAAATCTTCATGGACGCTGTCTCAAATCAGCTACAACCTTGAATCAGCGTGCAAGCTCACGGATACGACGAGCGTGCTCCACGGTGAGGAAGATACAGTAGTTCGAGTATAGACAACACACGATTTCAACAGACTTGCTGACCGCCCCGACGCTGTGCTGGGGACGAACCTACTTCAAGTACATGTACAGCAGTGATTGGCGTCGAACTTCGACCACACCAGGCAGCCGCTAGACTACATGCATGCGTACAGCAGACTGTAGCTTACGTGACCTTAATTCGAATTTTGTTGTTTCATTCCCCACAACTGGCTCTCTGCGGTCAAGGATCTTCCAAGCATGCGTGTACACCCATAAACCACGGCGGCAAGGATAGTGCAGTAGTGGGTCCCTGTGAGCCCCCACATGGGCTCACAGGGATGGGGACGCGGTGCATGTAAGGGTGACGAACAGGAGTAGTACAGCAGTAGTAGTACTACTGCTGTGTAGCAGCTATGCGGAGAGAAATAGTATACTATGCTGTACTTGCTGTACTACAAATAGAGAGCTGTGATCGGAGTTGTGATCGGAGCTGTAGTCCCGAAAACCCTTTTGCCTTTGAGCGAATTTTGCCCACAGCAGACAAACCACCCTTCACTCCCAATACTGAACCACACGCACCGCAATCGCAACAACATCAAGCACCGAGGCAGCACGTTAGCATCGGCTCCGGTGTGCGCTTTCTCTGCTCTCCCCCGCGGATGCGGCACCGGGTTGATCACATACATGTTCAGGGTGCTGTATGTACCCTACGGTGGTATTTTGCGTTTGAATCGTTGTAGTACCAATAGGCAGTAGATTGGATCTGGAAAGGATATCTGCCCCGCGTCAGAGAGATTAGGCGGGTGAATAGCATTGTACTATGTGAGTCCTGTGCGCACTGCTGATAAGCGTGCTTGGGGGGCGGGCTGCCTGTGTCTCCCTGCTGGTCTCTATGTATGTTTTTTGCTCTTAGCCGAGGCACAACGGCGATCTTTCGGCACGCAAAGTGATCGGAGCTGAGAACGGAGCTGAATCGGCCTGTAGTCACGCAGGGGCAAAGTACTTGTACTGTAGATGACCCACCGAAGGCGGTTCGGTCGTTTGGGCCTACGGTACTGAGCAGAGACAAAATGGCATCCATTCCAACCGGAAGCCAACAACAAACAACAACGACAACATACTGTAGTCCATTTGTGAGTCGCCAAAAATCCTTTGAAGGTGTCCATACACTGCCGTTCTATAGATGAAAAGTACCAGGACTCGCACGTACGTACATAGTCGAGACCATGTGGCACATCGACCGTCATTGAATACTTTCAACGTAGAGACTATACATACGCGCTGTACAGTGTACATCGTTAACATGCAGCCGCAAGGCTGCTGAGAACATCGGTCGTGCTAGAAGTATTTGAAGATTGTCGTGCGCTTTAGAGTTCTGTACTGGGTTTTGTTTTGTCTGTTGTGCAAAGCCTAGATCCGCAAGGTAAAGGGGGAGTGTTTACGTCTCACAATATCAGACGATTCATGAAAAAATTTTCGCGGAAGACAAGAGTAGGACGCGGATGACAGAACAATGACCGTCGCATGTCATTGATGAATATTCTACGAGAAAGACGTCTTTGGGAGTGAACGGCAAAACTTCACTACGAATACCAACTACATTTGGAACCAGCTACAGCTGCAAAGCAAAGGCCGTTGTTGGCGTCATGGTTCGGTACTTTGAACAAGCGCTCTGAATCTACCCACGGACGAAAAATTTCGCGCACTCGACAGTCGCTGCGTCAGTATTTACACAATTGCCGAGTTCGAAACGTGGGAATAGACGATCGGAAAACGACGAAATTTGACTTGGTGTCCGACAGGGTTGGCCATCCTCAACAACGGTACATGAGGCCCGAACTCATGATACCGACCCTGTGTGTGCGGGCAAGGTTAGCTTGTTCGGTACCACGTCTACTCACCCATCGTTGTTGCACCTTGCAATTCGCCAAACATTCACGGTTCCCACCTCGTGTCGCTCGCCCTCGTACGCGATGACCGCCCATCACCAACTTGTCGACACCTCAAGAGCCGAATACAAGTTTTGTGGTCCATGGCCTCTCAACGGTTTGAACTTCGCCGGATGTCAACCTGGCTCTCAATCCTAAATTGTAACCGACCCGTCGTCGAGTACTTATCCTCCATTCCGTCACGCATTTCATACTTTCTTCGAAGTCGTCGGCAGCCAACAGATCCTGCGCCCATTCATCTCAACGATGCATTATTTCATGAACTCCAAGACTCGAGACCAGCTGGATGCCGACGAGCCACAAAATTGAAAAAAAGACAATCGAATGAGGACACCCCAATAACCTTGATCACACTGTACACCCCTCCGCCTGTCAGCTGGAGATTCGACATGGTACGATCGCCGTCAGAAGACGCGACACCTACGCCACCTGAGCCTCTCCTGTCAACGCTGCCGGGAACCACCGCCAGTGGCATCAACGCCAACAGGGAGATATTCGACGTCGAGCCTCGTCCGAACGCAGAGAGCAATGCAACCTCGACAACGGCAGCAACACGACTCGACTCGTTATTGTACAAGTTGAGAATGTTTTCGCTACATCTTTTCAGCGTTGTCGGAGTTCTGGCATCCTTGTCCGTGTTGGCCGGGAAAACTGACTTCCGGTGGTCGTTGGCTGAAGAACACGGTCATCACAGTAGCAGGGACATCAACCCTCAAAGTGTAAGCGGCAACAGCAGTGGTTCACTTGAAGCTCACGCCGGTGATGGTCTTGGAGCAACTGTGGGTGCCCCTCTCTCGCATGAAGAGGTGAACGAAACATGCGTTGAGTCCACCGGAGTTTAAACGTTCGACCATGGTCTAACCTTGCTGGCATTCTCCGCGCCTTCTAGATTTTAAACAGTTACACCCCCAATGCCCTCCGCTCTGCGCTTGTGATGGTCGAAGAGGCCGTTGCTCTGAACTTCCCCTCATGGGGGGGGGGGGATCAAGGATCGCCCTCCCCCGCTCTCTACCCCGTCCCTCGTTGTTTTTAACCTGCTTTGAAGATATATTCGCATGAAACGTCTACGACGTGCAACCGATGTTTCGCTTGCTGTTCACCTATACATGACTGCCTGTTACGGTCCTCGCCTTTCGGCGCGTCCGCGTGTTCGCCTAGGCGTCAGGTCGCGCGGTCCTGGCTACTTCGGTCGCTCCTCCCCCCGCCATGAAGTCGACGGCGCTCCTAGTGGCCGTAGACAACGAAACGCTTGCTGTTTGGTCAGACTTCGTATCATCTGCGCGGAAGCGGACAACTGGAATTGGCATCTCACAGAGGCAGGAGCTCCCCTGTGGCAATGATAGTGCGAAACCGGATTGCGGCATTAGCGATGAGAAGGACGAGGGGAAGAGAGAGGAGGAGAGAGCAGATTCATCAGCACCAGTGGAAGAACAACACGATTGCGACCAATCTTGTTTTCCCCCTGTGTGGATAGTGACATCTGACCCTCGAGTTGACATTGTGGTCAGGGAGGACATGCCGCACCTGTTTTCGCTCTTTGTACCCTTCGATTCCGACGGCAGCAACGATGGTACCGGCGGCCCGAACAATCTTGAAGAGCATTCCCGTTGGGTCGATATGTTGGACCGGTTCTTGTCTGACAATCCCGAGGTGGACGTGTTTGGGGTTTACGGGGAAGGCGCCCTGCCTACTGCCGCCCTTCTTCCGGACTACATGGATTCTTCTTTCGCTCCTTCCGACATCGCTGGGGATGGCGGTGGCGGTGGTGGTAGTGTTCGCGGCGACCGCTCTGGAGTCAGTTCGGTTCTGTGGCCTGTACTTTCGGAGGCGATACCTCCAACGGCTGTGATTTCTCGTGCTCGGATGTGGTGGGACAGAGGTGATGGGGGTACAAGCAACGGATTAGGAGAGTGGATGTCCGACAAGTTCGTCGCCCAGGTAAGATGCCGTCAATATTGATTTTCATTGGCAACGGACCGTATGTTTGGCGACATGTGCATGAGAGGAACGGTGATGGTTTTCAGCCACACGTACACCACTCGACATATGTTTGAGGTTTTATAAGACAGATGTAGATCAATGAGTAATCCGGGGTGCAGTGCCCTTACAGCACGTGTGTACAGCGAACGTACCCTCGATTAACGCCTTCCCTGTTTCCTCGCCATCATGCTGTTATCCGGAAGGTCTGGTGCAACCGCGCCATGCTGGTGGCAGCCGGGAGGGACTTCATGAACCCCACCGAGCCCGGCCTAGTCGCCAAACGTGAACGTACCACCTTTCTTCACATGATACAGGGACTTGTTCGGGAGCCTAGCGCCGAAGGAGTGGTGATAGTGGACGGGACAAAAGTGATCCCCTCAAGATACTTACACCCACCCACCACAGCCGGAGTCGAAGAAATCGGTGGGGACAGTAGTGGCAGTGGCGGCAGGGGCCAACCCAATCGGTTCGTGTTTTTACAGCGGTTGGTCCAACACGCCCGGGAAAAGAGAGAACATGAGCGCCAGCTACACCGAGAACAACAGCAGCCGCAGCCACCACCGGAGGGTGTCAAGACCTCCGGCTCGACCGCCGCTCCTGTTCTTACCTCACAGGAGTTCCAACCTTTGCCAGAGATCAACTACTACATCGGAACGCTGGAGTTTACTCTTGGTTTCGACCTCGAAGCCATGCCAACTGGTTCCGAAAACAATACGGCGACCGCGCGAGTATTGCCAAACCGTGGAGATTCCCCCACTGTAACGGGAACAACCAAATCGGGTTACCACAGCGTCGGTGATGGCGAGGGTGACCGAGCTGAAAATGGTCCTGGGGCTAACGCTTCTGTTGCAACGATAATGAGAGCCCTTTGGCCTCCAGAGTATATCCTCGATACCGTCATTCAGCCACTTTTCACGAAAGACGAGGAAGAAGAGCGTGCTGCTTCATCCATGGTAGGCTTGTTCGATCGTGGGAGTTGGGGTGCTAGTCAGAGGGAGCGAAAGCAGCAAGGAGTCGTCATTGTTTCAAGCGTGAATTGCGGCTACCTGGATATGGCGTCAAATTTTCTGCAGTCGGTGGGGCAAGCCGCAGGAGACGTGAAGGTCAGAAGGCATACGCAGTTTCGTGTGCAATCGAGCGCGTGTGCGCCAGCATGTGTTCGTGGCTGTTTGAATAGTATCGACAGAATAGGCCAACTGACCAGTTAAACGGCGTCATTCTTAGCCGGGTAAACACAATGACTCACTCGAGTCCACACCGACTCCCCGGCCAGGGGAGCGGCAGAGGACACGGTATAGTGCGTGTGCTTACCTCATAAACGCGCTGTCGGCCGACAAAACGAAAAACCGCCCGTGTCAGCGGGAAATACCAATTTCCACGGAAGTGTGGTCAAAGTAAGAAGAATGGGGGGATGCCCAGAGTATTTATTCTCCACGAAGTATTCACGACGGTCACGAAAGCTTCACGTACACCCTCGCCCGAACCATGAGGGGACCAATGTAAAGGGTCACCATCAGAGCGATTCAACCCATGGCAGATTGCTCTGGCACGAACATCCAGCTACGACGGCCCACCTGACTAGTCAATATTTAAAGCAAATGGTTCTCGCCCCTCGACGGGGTCGGGGCGGTATCGATGGATAGGATGTCCTCCGGCCAGGCCCACCCGCCCAATAACAGACGTGGGTCCTGCGTATGTAGCGAACAACATCAAGCACACACCCTTCACGGCTCTCAATCTAGAGATTTGTATTTGTGACCCTTTCCTGGGGGCACGAAGAGGGGCCAACTGTTCCCTTCCGAATTCATCGGACCTTGCGACAGGTGCTCTTCGTGGCGAGAGACGAGGTCGCATTCGATTTCCTAGACGCTCTGTCTCCCGGGTGTACGGTATTCTTCCCTGAAGTGGGATCGGTGAGGAGATGAATTGCGTTGTTGGCGTTGAAGATTGTTTTGCTGTTGTCGTGCTGTCGCTACTACTGGCACGTTTTGTTTTCTCTTCTTCTGAGGTTGTTTGGACGTTGCAGTTCTTGTTATATTGCTTCCAATGTGTACACCGTCCACAGCTCCGTTTTCGTGCCTGTGGGACCCTGCTCCAAGCTTTTCGAGTCCCAGCATACGCTTGCCCCATCAACGCAATCATGTTCGCGCCCATCAACCTCGGGTGTCCCTCGCACGATACTACTGTGGAAGCTACCATTGAACTGATCCAACTTGTCTCCTAAAGTACACCATGCTACAGCAGCACTTCATGACGAGAACATTTCTTACTACTGTTGGCTGTTCTGGCCCAGCGGTAGTGTCAAATCACGACGTTCTTCATGGGCAATGTCGAGTCTTCGTATGTTCCTTTGCCCTCATAGGAATGCGTATTGCACGTACACGGTACTTCGACACTAAATTTCATCCCACCTGCTGCCACCTCCAATTGTCTTACAGGAGAGGGCCCATGCAATACAAGCCGGGCAGTGGGGCGACAACATCTTCAAGCAACAGACCGTTGCTCGCCCTGATATCCTTCTTCCCATCCTTCGCCAGGGCTACAAGGCCCTATACACCGACGTGGACATTTTTTGGCTAGGAAATGTCCTCTCTCTCTTGCCGAACTCCCGGGTAACCCAGACCCCTCCAGTGAGTACACACCTAGTCGCGTTTCATCCGCGCAATCAGTTGCCACAAGGGAAGTGACAAATGGTTTTGCTTTTCAGAGTCTCAGCGTGGGAACAAATTCGAGATGCCGCGGATCCTTCTGAAGCCCCCCAAGAGCTGTAGAAGACCTATCACAGCTCACTATGCCCCCCTGGACATGTTGCGCCTCCATGTTGTTTGGAATGATCGGTTCGTTTTCATGAAGATGTTTTCGCCAACATGACTAGGTGGGGTCATTACGTCCTCGCCTTTCTCATCAACTGGTGCCTGCTTTGTTGCCCTGAAGAGGAATGTGGAATGAAAGCGCCCGTGATTTTCATCTTGAAATCAAACTGAACATAACACGGTGCGTGTACCTGTTGGGCAGGTGGAAGTGATTCTCCAAGCAGACGCAAAACAGAAATGTACTTGCTTCATGTACCTCGACAGCACTCCGAATGCAATACGCCTGTTAGAGCTGTGGAAGCAGGAAATCGCCGAGAAGTCCAGTTTTCAAGACCAGGTGTGGAAAAACAGGCATGAGATGACGAAAACATACCAAGCTGTGTCAACAGTGCATTTCATTCAACGTGGATGCGTAGATATGCAAGGATATGCAAGAACTCCGTAAAACCAATGTCGCAAATGCAGCTCAGGTTGAAGCTTCGGGAGTTGGCTCAATAATGTGTTCTCGTACTGAGATGTAGAGGACTCCCCCATGTCTCCGGATCACATGAACAGGTATGTCCATAAGATGCTATTATTCGTTGTACTGCGCTTATGACGAGAAAGGATAGCCCATGCAACGTTCTTCTGAAAGAACAACGGGAGTGTGTTGTTCGCCCTAGTGCCCTTCCGACCCAGTCGTACGCGTCCACCGCGCAAATCTTTACGATGTTTGTTCCTGTTTTCGGGAACCAGAGGGCCTTCCAAAGCCCGTTGGCTCAGATGCAAGAAGCCGGTTTGGCGCTGCAACTGCTTCCTAAGGAGGTGCGGCAGTTGTTTCTCGTACGTGGTGAAGCACCTTTTGACTTGTGTGTTCAACGGCATTTTTAACAATGAGACCAGTGCATGCTTCATAGATTTCGGAGCCAGACTTTGTACGACAAGGGCGAAGTTCCCTCCATCCGCAACGCTGTGACTTATCGTGTATTATTGACTGGGGTACTGTAGGCCTCTCAAAGTATCCCGATCACGCCCAGTGGCGTTGGTCTCACCCGAACCAGCCATCCGTGCCAGAAAATGGAAAGAAGAATCCCAACTCCGTTTCTAGCGCGGCCTTTAGGATACAGGTCATATGTTGCGCCACTCGAAAACTACACGGTGCTACCAGCCAAAAATCGGTGAAATTCCGAAGGTGTTCAGTTCCAGGTCGGAAGGGATGCTAGCGTGTGTTGGTGATCTCAAGATTTCGGTTCGGGCGTTCACGAGTAGTAAGCATGTACACCCTGGCGAACCGTAACCAGATACATACGCGTCTTGTCAGGCTCGACACCTAAACCAGCTCTACGACCAACACCACACAAGTTCCGTTTAGTAGAGATTTCCACATGTTTCACACGCGAGCCCTTCGAGAATACGGCGTTTGGGCTTTCACGGGCGTGGACCTTCTGAGAGGGGATGTGATAGATACTTTGAGGCACCCCCCTCAACCACGCAATGCCCAAACGGTGTCCATGACAAGTACGTGCTGAACTTCAAAATATTTTTTAATTAGTAGAATAACCCGGAGCACGTCCGTCCTGCAGTCGTTTCCCAAAGAAATACTTCACAAATCATGACATCTAAGATCTGAAACTCTGCTTCGGGACAATTTACCTGGCCTTGTTGAACCCAGTATGACTACTCTGGTATAAGTATTTACCATGCTTCGAGACCCCCACTGGCTTTCTTCGAAGCGGGTTTTGTAAGACGAGCATTGTTGGCATGTTTTTCCATACGAGCATCGCCTTGGTTGGACGGTTGGGGTAGCTTGGGGGGAACCCTTACCAGATTTATCCGACAACAACCGTTAGGGGAGCACTCGAGGTCGACGTACCGCAACGTTCGAGCGCCGAAAAACTGCCGCGCCACTACCATTCCCTTAGGGCCATTTGAAGCGTGTCACTTGTTTCTAAATTGCCGTACCGTTTACAGCTCGGGGAACTTGGCGAAGCGGTTTCGAACGCTAAACAATTGGAAAGCTTCCAAAACGTGGGACTCTACCGTTCCAAATTCTTTGGTTCACCACGCGCTTCCAAGAAAAGCTATCGCAATGTTTCGATGACTGCCAACTTTTTTGGAGGAAAAACCCGGGATATCACCCCGATTCCCTTCCATGGAGCAAGATGGGCGTGGTCCATGAGCAAAGCCTGTACCTTGGGCAATCTCGAGCGCCTTTCTGTCGAACCCCTGTAGCTGACACGATGTCTGATCTCGCCCGTTCCATAAACAGTCCGCATCGGCCACTTTGCGAGCGACGTTGATCTAACTATTAAATCTCCAAATCAGACAGATCCAATGTAGAATGAAGAGAGAGGTTCATCTTGCCTCGTCAGTTGACGTGACATCAATTATTGTTCCGCTGCTTACCCCCATCACCGATCTTGTTGGTACTCGTCACCTCGCCCTCGCAGGCAATGCTTCCGGGAAACAGAGGTTTCGACGAAACGTACGTGAAGAACAACTACGCGCTTTTGCAAGACAAGCTGCTGATCGTTCACAACAACTGGATCGTCGGTCACGACCCTAAACGAGAGCGTTTCCGCATGGCCGGTCTGTGGGAGGTGGACGACTGGGAGTTCCCAACCTGCCAGCGGAGAAACCTTCGATCGCAAGGAGGACGGAGTGGGTGGGAGTGGGGGTGGGGGTAACAAGCGCAGCAAGAAGCACGAAAACATCTCGTAGATTGGACAGGATTGACCTTTGGTAATAGGGCCGGCGACCTCCACGAACACAAGTGTTTGCGGAAAAGTTATACTCTTGCAGAAAACGAGAAAACACATTTTGCACCAGAAAGTTCACGTAATCGAGGCATCTGCCTCTTCATTGGTAGCGGAGGAGGGGGAAGTTGCCACGCTGCTGGCTGCGGTTTCTCAGCTTGAAAAGGAGCAGACGATGCAGGTTCCTGCTTGAAAGGAGAACACCGGCGAAAAACCTAATATCTGCTTCATTCCCCAGCCCCCCTCTCATCTGTGCCATTGAATCGAATTCGCTCAGACTTTGGAAATGCAGGGTAGGTTTTCCAAGATTTTGGTTGCTGATTTAAGATGCTGAGCTATTCCGATTTGTGTGGAGGCGACCATTTAAACCGTCTCATCTCCGCGTTTGTTTCTGGAGGACGAACCCCCCTCCCAACACCGGCGTTTCAGTTAGTTATTTAAAATTGGTGAAAAAGAACCGGGCTTCAAATACCGCAATCCACTGTGCTTCAGTGACAAAACAACGAAGGGGTAAATCAAGCCATTCAAGAGCATTCGGACCTCGTGGAATTGCTTTTTGGGGGTTGACGACGTCGCGATCCCCGTCCGTCAGTGAACTCACGCACTGGAGATGTGAAGAATCAAATCACCTCGCTGACAGACGATGGGTTTCCAAGCATACAAGAAGAGGGCGCACGAAAGGTGGAAAGTTGTCGGCGGGGACCTTGAACACGACGGTCCCGTCCCGACGGTCTGTCGATGATGACTCCCTATTCTCATCCAACCGCCATGGTTTGTCTCCTCCTGCCTTGAATAAGCGAGAGCTCGGTAGAGGAACACTGAGCGAAGAGTGACGAACCGCAGGATTGCTGGTGATGAAACATGTATTTTCGTGGAAGACGGTCCTTGACGAGCGTAGGCGTAGCATTTCATTGAGGTGATTCGACGTTAAACTGAAGAGTTCGGTCGAAGAATACAGCGCTACGGTTGCGGCTAATATCGTAAAGAACAGCGCTATCACCCGACCAACAACTACTTCCCAATCACCTCACTCACCCTTTCGACACCAACATATGCTGTACCACCATGCGGTAACAGTTGGTCGTTTATGCGTACGCTACATAGTAATCCACATGATACAAACCATGATACAAAGGCGTGTTGGGGTTTCCTAGAGAATAGGCTTTTCGTGCTGATTCGGTGCGTTGTCCTCTAAGTCCGGTTACGGTGATGGTGTAGCATCATAGGCGCATAGAACGCATTCTTGCGCTTTTTCGAAACGGGGGCACTACAGTACACGTCGGACAAGAACATATTTAGTCGTTGGCTTCGCTGCTGGCTTGAAATATGTTTGGGGTGTCGGTGCGTGCACCACGTTATCACGCTCGCGGGCTCTTGTCGAGAGCACAAAGGAGTTACTCAAGTTCCTTGATTAACGATTAACGATTGACAGACGTGAGCAAGAAGAGGCAAAGCCTGCTGCTCCAAGTCTGTCTATCATACCCACATCTATCTCATCTGCGTACCCCCCTCGGAGATCTCGGAGACTTGTATCCTGCCGAGTACACACTCCCTACTCGGCACGAGATACGATCTACGAGATCCTCCGTACATATCACCAGGTAAAACGGCAACAAATAAAAAAACCGTTCGTCTTCAATGTCCACAAGTCATCTCAACACCCGGATCTGTCGAATATTCAAATTTCAGGCTACTGCTCGTCCTTATGACTATGGAACTTCACTAAGAGTCTTAACAATCACCCCTCTCGATAAAATGTCGTCACCATATTCTCAAGCAGCCAAAAAAAAAGAATTCTTCTTGGAAAAATACTCAGCAAAGATCAACATTACATCAGATCCACGTCATGAAGACTCTGGACGGACAACTCTCTTGCAAAACGCGTCAAGAAATACTTCGAATAAAACCGTCGCAACTGTCTTTCAACTCATTGACCATTTTCAAATAAGCTTCGGAAGCACATAGGCCTCAACCATGTCTTACCAAAATATGCCAAATCCTTGCTCCAATGCATCGTTCAGAACAGCCATCAATACCAAATGCAAGAGGTAAAATTTGACAAAGGCTAAAAGCCCGGCGTCGACGAAGACGCCAGAGGAAACTTTCACCAATTTATGCCGTTTCTCAAACATCGAGACATGGATTTCTCAGCAGTCCCTCTGCTGTAGCATCTCCCAAAAAATAAAAGCTTAACAGCCTCCCTGCTGCAACATCTCCAAAACTAATGGTGCACCGGCAGGAGCAATAGCTGCCGGGAGAAAGACGGCCGGGACAGCTGGCCTAGCTGGGCTCGGCACACCACAATGGGGTTACAGAAGTAGTCGGAAACCGCCCAAAATCCCGAGAGATTCGACGAAGGCCGTGAGCTGGCTGCGGAAAATGCGGAATTTCCTGGCTAGCGAGGGTTTGGAGCAGACGCTTGAAGACACCTGCCGCACTACTATATTCCTGCCATCAGCTGTTCGGATCGCACATATCTGGACCGGGTTTGTTTATGGTTCGTCACTCGTTACAGCACACAAGCGGGCGTGGGGGATTCTGCTAGAAGCAACCTGCGGCACGGACAAGGAAGAACGGTTGGCTGCTTGCGACTGCGTCCCTGAGGCGTGGAGCGTGATCCACGAATGCTTTTGCCTACTTTTGACGCTGAGGAGATATTGCTTGTACGGCGGCTGGAGACAGTTGAGGTGCCGCCTGGCGAGGACCCGAAGATTTTCTTTGCCAGAGTCGATGGCATCATCAACACCATGCGAGCTATCGGCATCGAAAAATCCGAGCGGGAAATTGTGCACATCATAGTCCACCGCTTGCGTACGAGTACGATGTCGAGCGCAAGTCCATCCTGGCCGACCCCACCATTTCCCAAGCGAAGGTGAAAAACGTTGTTCGCACGGCATACGCCAACAAAGTCATGACGAAGGAATTGGGCAAACCGCAGGCGACCGGTGGTTTGGGGTACGGTCATGGCGGCGACAGTCAGAGGAGGCCACAAAGGCGGTGGCGGCAGTAGCGGGAGCAGCAACAGTAGATTCATCCTCAACCATCACCTGCACACCACCCACCTCCTAATTTCCCGACGTGGGGATCTGGGGTGTGGACGCAACGCCGTTTACCCGCAAGAGGAGTCAGCTCCGCCGCCAGGCACTCCGATGGGTGCCGTTCACCAGTGCGTGAGGTGCGGGAGGCATGGACACTCACTGGGCGACTGGAATGCGCCACGACGCTTTGAAAGCAACTGCACTGCCTGCGGTGAGTATGGTCATCGGCGCCGCATGTGCTGCACAACCGACCGCATTCAACAGCACGTGCATGTCGGTGATGGAGAGGGTCTCAACGCGCGTGGCAACAACACAATGCCGTACCACCAGCGGAAACGACGACGCTGGAGGAGGCAAAGGCATCAGCCGGAGCCGCTCCTCCTCATGTTTGCAGATGGAGCGTGAGGCACAGCAACTGCTGTGGGAGCGGCGACCGGTGGTGGGGGTTTCCCCCCTACGGTGGCGGGGGGGACGGCCGGGGCGCAGGCACTCGCGGCGGGGGCAGCCGCATCGGCGGTAGCACCGGCGGCGAGAGCGGCGACCCCCGGCAGCAGAGTCTTCCCCGCGGCGACGGTGGGGGAGGCGGCCGGGGCGCAGGCACTCGCGGCTGGAGCGGCGGCATCGGTGGTGGCACCGGCGGCTACACCGGCGTCGAGTAATTTCCAAAGCTTCATGGAAGAGGCTGCGGAGCTTCGGAGACTATTGGCGGCCCAGAAACCGGCGCTGGATGTGCCGTCTGCCGCATCACTTGAGTCGTCAGCAGGCGTGGCTTCAGCAGCGGAACCAACGGTGGCGACGGCGACAGGTATTGGTGTTTTCCCCGATTCGTCGATGGGGAGAACGGCCGGGGCGCCGTCAGCAGCAGGAACGGTGGCACTGGAGGCGTCGTCGACCGGCGGCCCGGTAACCCCCGCTGTATCGACTGGGGGGGGCATCGCAGCGCCCACATCAGCAGCTACACCGACACCAGCAGTGCAAGAGACGGAGGACGAGTGCGATGAAGATAGCTGTTGGTTGCACAATGGCGACGAAGGCGGTAACAGTAGCGGAGGCAGCGGCGCGGGCGGCATCGTGGTGTTGTCTGCTGGTGCGGGGCATTCCGGCGCCCATCCTACCGTGTGCAATGGTATCTGCGTGGTGTGGGACGACGGGGGGGAATACCAGGGATGGGCATTCGATCGTGACTGGAAGAGGCTACATGTTCGGGAACTACCGAGCGGGATGGCCGGCGGTTGCACGATGGATCTACGCGCGATTCAAGCACGTTTGTTTGTGAGAAGTATATGTTTTTGGCTGTGTATTTTCTACATGTAGGTTGGTCCTGTTTTGTTTGCTGAAAACCATGAGTTTGACAACTGCGTCGACGTAGACTGGTGTGCTGCGATGCGCACGGACGTGGTGTTCATGGTATACATTTTGTGTTGTTCATTTTTTTGAGGATGTATGATATGGTTTGTATAGTCTAAGAGTTCGCCGTGCCGAATGATGCTAGCCTTGCTGTCGAAAATCATGGGGGGGGATGAATGTGATGTCGAGATGCCATGATCTTCGCCGCAGTACAAGGAGAGTTATAGCGGACGTTTGGGTTTGGTTGTTCATTTTGTTCACGTTTTCCGCGTTTTACCTTCGGAAAGTGAGGAGAAATCCACAATTCTTGTTTGTTTGCAATTCCGCGTTTTACCTGCGGAGTTCGGAGGTAACTTCACGATGATTGTGTAATTTCTCGTTGTTAGGATTCGAGAGTTGTTGTCTTGCATTTCCTGCTGTAGGACGGATTGAGTTCAATGGCCGGAGATATGTTGAAGGGGGGCTGTTAAGATCTTATGTTTTTTTAAAGGAGGTGAAGCCGTGGGCGGTAGCTTGCTCCTAAAGATAGATGAAGGTTCTGTTGTT